GGAGGGGTCAGTGGGGGGGAGGGGAAATGAGCTATATTGGGAAGCGGGGGGAGGGGAAATGAGCTATTGTGGGGAGGGGGGAGACATGGGGAGGGGTCAGTGGCGGGGAGGGGAAATGAGCTTTTGTGGGGAGGGGGGAGACACAGGGGAAGGGTCAGTGTGGTGGGGGGTAATGGCCAAAGTATTTGTGGAGGGAGAATGGGCCATGGGGGGGAGGGAGGTAGAGATAGGACCTTGATCTAGTTCGGAGACACACCTGAGGTGGGAGGATGATGGCTGGGACTGAGACACATCTCAGGAGATGGTAATTGGGGGGGGGGGGGCACCAGGGGAGTTTTGGGCTATTGTGTCAGGTGGAAATGGCCCCAAGAATTTCATGAGCCACATGTAGTGGGACGTGCTATTGAAGCTACTAGAGATGCTCTGTGAATGAGCTGTGCAATCTGTGTGGGGTGTGAGGGTGCTGTGCTATTGGAAATCGATAAAGGGATGTTGCAATTGACTGTATATGATGATATAGGGAAAGTGGTGTTTGCCTGCAGGCTAAGGAAGCACCTGGTGGCTCAGGGTAGGGGAAGTGTAGGGATATGCCATGGGGATCATATCCAGGGAGAGAAGACATGGTAAGCACAGGCGGGGGCCAACCTGAGGCTGAGAAGGAGCCAGAATTTACCAATGTACATTGCCAAAGAGCCCCAGTAATACATCAACAGCCCCGCCCTGCCTGCCGCCACCCGGCCATCAGCGCCTCTCCTCCCTCCCTGTGCCTCGCGCAGGAGGCTCTGGGGAGCGAGGAGAAGAGCGAGGGCATGGCAGGCTCAGGGAAGGAGACGGGAAGGGACAGGGCCTTGGGGGAAGGGGTGAACTGGGGCCAGGGCCTGTGGCAGAGGCAGGGGTTGAACAGTGAGCACCCCCGGCACATTGGAAAGTTGGCACCTGTAGCTCCAGCCCCGGAGTCGGTGTTTATATAAGGAGCCGCTTATTAACCTCTGAAGAGCCTCATGCGGCTCTGAAGCCACAGGTTGGCCACCCCTGATGTAGTACTTGGAATAATGTAGGGAATCTGGGAGCTGGGTCAGTGCAAGGATATTGCAGGAGACAACTCAGAGAAGTTGGTGTAGAATGTATTATTCTGCCAACTATACGCACTCAAAACACAGCACAAGGTAGCAAGCACCATAAATGACAGTCAAACAAGAGTCAGGTTTCAGAGTAGCGGCCGTGTTAGTCTGTATCCACAAAAAGAACAGGAGTACTTGTGGCACCTTAGAGAGTAACAAATTTATTTGAGCATAAGCTTTCATGGGCTACAGCCGAAGAAGTGGGCTGTAGCCCACGAAAGCTTATGCTACAAATAAATTTGTTAGTCTCTAAGGTGCCACAAGTACTCCTGTTCTTTCTTCAAACAAGAGTGTTGATCATAACGCAGTAATCAATGAGGAGGCAAGGCAGGAGAGAGATGTGTGTCTGGATGACATTTGAGAGCAGATACACAATTGTTCCAGAGCATAGGAGTAGCAGAGGAGAAGTCTCTGGTATTGATTGGGTAAGAGACCAGAAAAAGGGATGAGAGAGAAATACACTAGAAGGCTTTAGAAGGGTGTTGGGGATCCATTGAGTGGGGGCTGTGTTATAGATGATCCATATGTGAAGCAGTTTTCTGGGTTTTAGCTAGGGGATATGATTATTTGTATTGTATAGTAGAAAGGATTGGATTAATTAGGGAAGATTGAATTGCTTTGGATCAAATAAGAACTGATGCAGATTGTTGCCACAAGCTCAGAGTGAACCTCTCCTGGCCAAATTCTATTAAGGAGAAAGTAAGGTTAAAAGTAATGGGGCCAAATTCTCCCCTGGTGTAATTCTGTTGACTTTGATGGAGTCACATGAAGGATGAATTTGGCTCAGTAGGTTTTAAAACTGCAGGCTATCTTATATTTTTGTCTTTTGTGACATTGACACCTCTGTAGTTGAGTGAATCCAGGGCTTACACTCAACTTGATGGCATTTCTCTGACTGCATCTGACATGATAACTTCTGAAAACTGCATCTGATCAATTCCAAACTTTCAGGGAATGTTTTAGGTATCAATGGGCCAAACCCTACTAATTTTGGTGAGGATCAGAAAGCCAGAAAAGCCTGATTTCCACTAAAATCCAGCCTACAGACTGCCCATTTGGTGCTGT